ACGGGGTCTCGCTCTTGCTCAGGCTGGTCTCGAACTCCTGACCTTGAGCGATCCACCCGCCTTGCCCTCCCAGAGTGCTAGGATTACAGGCGTGAGCCACCGCCTGGCCCCTAAGAAGTAAATTTTTAAAAAGAGCAAACTGCTATTCACCATTGCCGAGCAACAATTTTACATAACAATCATTCATTATGGTCCATTAAATTAGAGGGTTGGGGAAAGAAGAGCTTTCTGTGAAAGTCTCACTCGTGCTGCTTTGGCACGTGATGGCAAGAATGTCAGAGGGCTCAGAGTGTCTGTGTGTGCGTGGCAGGAGAGGGCACTAGAGGTAGCTGTGAGTCTGATGCCCACCACTGTCACTCGCTATGTTTTCTCACCTTTCAAGTGGTGATACCATTACCTGCCACATAGGGTTGTCAAAAGGATTCAATGAGAAACATGCTCAGCAGTCCCGGAGTGCTTAATAAATGTCACCAATTGCTACTGTTGTTGTTATTAAATACTCACAGGTCCTTGGTCTTTTTTTCTTCCCTCATGGGGGAACTGGGATCCAGATGGGAAAGTTCTGGAGGGAGCTCCTTCCCTTGTGCCAGCAGCCATGCCCTTTCTTCCCTGAGCTTTCTCCTCTTAGCGCGATCTACAGTGAACACACAGCATGACGGCATGAGTGAGTTAAGCACACTCTAGACAACTACATGTTCCTTAATCATTGTGAGAGAAGGAAGAACGAAGACCACCAAAGGAGTATCACAAAATTATGTTTGTTTCCTTTGCCACTCTCTTTTTGGTAATTGTGATGTTTCTATAGGTGGAATGCTTCATGCAAATTATCAACTAGTGGGACCTGTTTCCTCATACTGAGCTCAGGTTGGAGGATGAAGGTACATAGCTGGGGAGGAGGGGAGGGAGCAAGGCAGAAGAAAACAGAAAAATGGAAGTAGAAGAAAAAGAGAAGCCTTTCTTCTCTTTCTCTCAAAAAAGAAACATCCCTTTTTAGGACCAGACTCTGAGTCTAAACACACGCAGGATTCTCTACATGCACATTCAAGCCCTCGAGCTTCTGCATTTACAAAGGTGTCCGTGCACACCACCTGTCTGCTCTCCACCCACCCCACTGTGGGCAGCAGGCCCCTACTGCCAGTGGTAGTGATAAGTTTGGCCGGGAACAAGGGAAAGATGCCAGCTGGAGTTGGCGAGGAGCTGGAAGGCAGGGATGACTTTTTTTCTGGCTCACAGCCATGGCCGTGAGAAACACACTTGGCATTCCACTCCTGGCCTGCAGGGGCACTTGCTGCTAGCGAGAACAGCGAGGTCAGGAGCAAAGGACAGGCAGAGAGATGAACACCACAACACTAACAGACAGCAAGACACAAAAGTGGAAGTGAGGAGAAGCCAGGACACAGCCTCGATCTGCTCCTCCAATTCTAATTTCTCTTCTGCAAGGGACAAGCTCCACGCCTGCCTACTGCCGTGAGCAGGACAGGATCCTGCCAGGTGCTCTCTCTTCAAGTGCCCTTTCACTTGTGTTTCATGTTCCTAAATTATTTCCATTTATAAATTTAGAGTAATCTGATCTGCTTTAATTAATCAAAAGCACTTTACTATCACCAACTTTTAATCTTTTTTAGGAAGAAAAACAACAATTTCAAGTTTAAAGTGTAAATTAATAACTACTATCACCAACTTTTAATCTTTTTTAGGAAGAAAAACAACAATTTCAAGTTTAAAGTGTAAATTAATAACCACACACCCACCAAACTGTCCATCTTAAACAGTCTGTCTTAGTAAGGCCAACACAGTATTCGCTGTATGATCATGCCTCAGCTTAACAATCCATTATCTAATTGATTCCAACTTCAGAATTTTGTAAACAATACTATGATAATGTTTTTAAAAACATGTCTTCTCAAGCGTACATGTAAGGGTTCTCTGAGACAAACTCAGCAGTGGACTTGCCAGACAGTCATTACTGCGAGTATAAAGTACACAGAGAAACTATAAGGCGTTTTCAGAAAGTGCTATCCAAAGGTTTGTCTTTGATTACGTGTTAAAATTACCTTTGTCCACTCCATGGTTTGTCTTTCGACTTTGTTTGCAGTGTTTTTGTCATATATGTTTTAAACAATCACTGTAGTCAAATATCTCACTCTCTCCCCCCTTACGGTTTGTGCTTCTTGTACTTACATTCTTTCTTATCTCAACGTCTTAAATTCAGCTTATCTTCTTCAAAAAGGTTTTGGCCTTTTGGGTATCTGTAACTCATTCTTATATAAGCATGTACTTTGCCCCCTATAAATAAACAAGTTAGTACCACCTTTTTTTTTAAAAAAGAGGCGGGGGTCTTGCCCAGGCTGGAGTGCAGTGGGCTCAAGTCACACTCCTGCTGCAGCCTCTCAAGTAGCCGCACTACAGGTGTGAGTCACCACACCCACCTCACTACTTTTTGAAAAACCCACATTCTCTCCCAAGGTCTGTTTCTGACTTCACTGTCTCTCTCTATACCAATACCATTTCCTCTCCTGCACTGTAGATTTGATACCATATTGTTTTTGAAAGTCATCTCGGCTATCCATGGACCTTTGCTCTTTTATATGAATTTTAGGAACAGCTTAGCAAGATCCATAGATTTGTAATAGCAAATACCGAGTCAGGGATCAAATTTTTCCACTTGTCCAATAATGTTCCCACCCCCGACACTCAACGTTTTTTTAAAAGTTGATTTGTTCAAATCAAATTCAAAATGGTCCATATACGCATTTGGTGGCTATGTCTCTTAAATCCCGAATTTCTAACAAGCATCCTCAAAATTTATTCATTGGAAAGACTGGGTTATTCTGGCATTGCAGCATTTCCCACGTTCTGGATGTAGCTGACGGCATCCTCAATGCAGTATTGATGTGTTCCCCTAACCCTTATATTTCCTATAAACTGGCAGTTACATCTAGAGGCTTTGATGAAACAAATTTGACTTTTTTGGGCAATAACATTTCATACATGGTGCTGTGCACTTTTTATTTCATTGCATATTAAAAGAAATAAATCAGTTTATATTTGGTTATCTTTTTGTGATGTCAGTTATTATTTTTTGGGACAGAGTCTTGCTTTGTTGCCCAGGTAGAGTACAGTGGTGTGATCATAGCTCACTGCAACCTCAATCTCCTGGGCTCAAGTGATCCTCCTGCCTCAGCCTCCCTCATTAGCTGGGACTATAGGTGCGCACCACCACACCCAGCTAATTTTTTCAGTTTTTGTAGATATGGAATTGCACTATGTTTCTCAGGCTGGTTTTGAATTCCTGGGCTCAAGCAATCCTCCTGCCTTGGCTTCCCAAAGTGTTGGGATTACAGGCATGAGCCATGATGTCAAATTTTATCAGTGTTTTCAGGAGCTGGCAGCCTGATATTTCCATTATGAAGTATCTCATCAGTCTTTTACTCAATGCTTTCAGCAGCCTCTGATAATTAATCAGAGTTCTGAGACAGAATTAACCCGCAGAGAAGACTATATAAGTGACTATTTTCTCGTTCCTTCCACAGATTAGCACCTCTAAAGATGCACAGAAGAGAAGTTAATTCATCACATACAGTGGTTGTTATTAGGGCAGGGCTTGTAGGCAACAAAAAGCAGCAGGCAGGGCCGCTAGCTGCCCTGCAAATCAAGTTTTACTGGAACAAAGCCCTGTAATGACTCAGAAGCCAAAAGTATTTACCATGTGGCCCTTGATAGAAAAAGTCAGCTGACCTCTTCTTTAGAACACTAAGCCTTAATCATTTCCTGAAAACCTGGGTTGAGAAAAGCTTTGCCTAGACTCATTTTTTTCATTACTTGCTCTTCTAATTATTACTCCTGCTGCATTTACTGACCAAATTCTTCGTTTCCTAATCAATTATTTACATATTCTAAAATAGAGTATGTAACAAAAAGGCTTGGTTCTTTGATTCTATTTTACTATTAAATAGTTTTCAGAACAAGTTGTCTTATCAATTTCCTAAAGTGATATTTTAAAAACTATCATTATGAACTCATGAATTTATAACATATTTGATATTTTTTAGTCACTTGAGGTTTCTGTTTTGTTTTCTCAATGCTCAAAATGATCCAGGTTAGGTCAGTAAGAGACCCTTTTGGCCAGCTTCTTTATTTTTAGACAGAACTTCCAGAAGTTTTGATGCTTCCTTGTTTTTCTGTTAGCAAACCGTCTAGGTTCATCTTATATTTCTTGTCCAGTAGTGGAATTCGTTACTCTCAGAGAGTCTTGGTTTTCCTTCTGGTGGGAAAGTACATTTAGAGACCACCCATTGCTAGAGTCCTGCTATCTTTATAAAAAGTATTCATATTGACATTTATAGAATAATAACGAATCAAGGTGCTTGGCTGAATTCTTGTAATTCAGTTTTAATACTTTACTGAATCATTTTCTTGGAGTTTCAAGTCTTTACATACACACATATATCCACATTTTTCTTTGTAAAACTAAACCCCTACAGGACAATACAGAAGCAATGACAGAGGAAATCCTTGTGTTTATCCTGACGTCAGAGGGAATATTTTTCATGTTTCCCCATGAAGTAGAATGTTTGCTTAAGTTGTTAACAGACATTGGTTAAGGAAGTTCTTTTCCATACCAAGCCTGCAGAGACTGCTATTAATACAAGCCAGGGAATGCCAGAAACCACTAGAAGCTGGAAGAGCCAAGGTTTCTTGCCTAGAGCTTTCAGAGAGTGTGACTCCATCAACACCTGGATTTTGAATTTCTAGCTTTTACAACTGCGAAGAAAATAAATTTCTGTTACTTTAAGCCACCTAGTTTATGTTAATTATGGTAGCCCTAGGAAACTAGTACAAAATTCAAGCCCACTTTCTTTTAATTCAACCGTTGCTCCTAGGAAGTCTGCTATCACTATTACAGAACATCCTCTAACGTCTTTTCCAAATTGGTTGTTTTGAACTTCTGTGGGCCATGGATTCTATAATTCGGTTCTGCGTGTTACATGTGATTTACATCCAATTTACATCTCTTCTTGCTCTCTGTATCTGAGGATTTGGGGGGTTTTTCATCAGATCAAAAAAATACTCAAATATTATGTGTTGATGCTCTCCTGGCTTCACCGTATTGGTTCTTTCCTTTTAGAACTAACAGGGAAAAAAACATTGGACCTTTCAAGCTATCCACCACCGGAGTCAGTTATAAAGCTGTTTCTGTCAGTTCCAAATCCATCTTCCACGTTCCGCTCCGTGATGCTGGGGCAGGGATCCCGCAAATATCATCTCTCCACTCTCGGTTGGCTTTATGTTCTGCACAAAGGGAGCACTAAAGGGACAACGGGAGGTGGGATGAGGGAAGAAGGTGACTTCCTGCCTGCTGGTCTGCTTGCTGCCGCTTTTCGCCGCCACTGGAGCACTGTTCTCTCACCAGGTTCTCCCGGTGGTCTCAGAAGCAGGCTGCTCACTGCCTGCCCCCCACCGGTGCCAGCACGGGGCAGCAGCAGCACCTTCAACTGCCTGAGGCCCAGCTCCGCGAGCCCCTCCCCAGCGGCAGGACTGCCCCCTGTGTCACTGCAGGGAGTCCTTTTAACCTTTTTATTTTTCTAACTCACATTTAACCGAACACCCTGATGAAGTTCTCTGTTGGCTTTTGTGACTGGACGCTGACTTCTTTTTCCACAGCCCTCCTCTTTCTCTTAGAGCTGCGATCTACACACCTTCCTACATCTATCTTCCCTTAACTGAGTCTCATGAGAATCTAAGCGGTTTAACCCAGTTATTATTACAATAGCCATCCTTTACCTTTCTAGAAGTTCTAGTAGTTTCCTTTGAACCTAGTTATTTTTTTCCTTTTGTTTTGAATTGCTTCTTTTCCATAATGCAAAATATATTTCTTTTTTTTGCTGCCAACTGTTATTCACAATGGAGGTTCCTCATGTGCTTTGAAATTCTAATTGCCTATTCCTTTTCAGCAGGAATTTATCTATGGCCAACACTCCCTGGCCAAAGGTAGAGTCCTGAGACTGACCACTCCCCACCCACCCTGCCTGTGCTCTTCAGTTAAAGTCCTACCTTCTGGCTCCTTCTTGTGGTAAAGAATTAAGCTAAGCTCTTCAGAAGGATATTTATGCAGCTACTAGATAAAGTAAAACTTCTTCTGACCACAGGTACATGGAAAATTTAAATAACGTAACATACATGTACATAACATACAGATAATATAAATAGGATTTCCATTATCTGAAATAGAATTTTTAGGTTACTTATCAACCATACTGACAGAATGAGTTAGTTTCAATAATGTCTGTTACATACTGACTTCTCTGACTCAGCATGAATACTCAGGTCATAATCCAGTCTTGTAACATTTTTTATATTCAAAGATTATCCTGATCAATAGCAGTACATTTATTTTCCCCTTTATTTTTTTCTGTTGTGGCTTTTTAAATTTTTGGTAAAAAACACATAAAATGTACTAACTTAACCATTTAAGAGTACATTATCTACAAAAGCCAATGATCCAATTCCAGAACTTTTTCATCCCCCCGAACAGAAACTCTATATGCATTAAACACTAACTCCCCATTTCCTTCTCGCTCTGCCTCCAGTATATAATATTTGTCCCTTTGTGTCTCGCTGATTTCACTTAGCATAATATCTTTAAGGTTCATCTATGTGTAGCATGTTTCAGAATCTCACTCCTTTTTGAGGCTGAATAATACTAATATTCCATCCTAAGTGTACAGCACATTTTGTTTACCCATTCATCCACCGATAGACACTTAGGTTGTTTCCACTTTCTGGCTTCTGTGTTTTCTTCTTCCACTTACCTCCTTTCAAATTTCTTTAACCAAATAAAAACTATGAGCCTTCTCCTTGGAATTACGCATTCATACCATACCACACCGTTTTGCAAACACATTCAGGGGACTCCCAGACCAGCCACTGTAGCACTGCTCAGATGAGAGTATAAACAGAGGCATGCAACAGAGTTAAGCTAACGGTATGTCCTTTGCTACATTTACCCTCAAACAGATAAATACTATCTTAAAAGGACCCACAGAATGAATCCTCTTAGAATTTAATGTCATATAGTGCTTGTTTCTCTGAATAAACTGTTATAATTTAAAAATTATCCTATTAGTACATAATCCATTATTTCCCTTTTTATAGTTAGAAGCAACTAAAAACTCTAAGTTTATCATTGTAACTATCTTACAGCCTGTAATTCTTTCCACAATAACTGTCCTTTGTAATTTGCTGTGTGTTGGGGACTGTCCTGTTTGCATTTAATCCCGCTAACAGGTCTGCAACAGCCCGTCCTCATCTGGTGCCTGGTCACCTGCAAGGCCACACGTCCAGCCGGCCTGCCCTTTGCTCACCTTGATCCAGCCACACTAGTCTACCTGCTGCATGCTCTCGTCTCAGTGCCTACCACACATCACTCCCGCTGCCTGCCATGCTCTTGTCCCCTCAGGTATTCATGTGGCTACCTCATTCACTTTTTTAAAATGTCACACCTTCAAAGAGAACTTTCTCAACAAGTCTATTTAAGTGTCACTTTCGTTGTGTTACCTTTTTTTTTTTTAAAGACAGTTTTGCTATGTTGCCCAGGCTGGACTCACACTCCTGGGCTCAAATGATCCTCCTATCTTAGCCTCCTGAGTAGCTAGGACTACAGGTGGTACCACCATACCCAGCCATGTCAGAACCCTATTGAAAAATGAAATCCCATTTAAAAATAAAAAGAAATAGGCTGGGTGTGGTGGTGTGCACCTGTAGTCTAGCTACTCAGAAGAGGCTGAGGCAGGAGGGTTGTCTGAGCCCAGGAGTTTGAGACCAGCCTGGGCAATATACAGAAATCTTATCTTGAGGGGGGGGAAAAAAAAAAAAAGAAGAAAAGCCAGTTATTGTATCTTGAGGAATTTGTTATCTAGCATCAGAAATAGGACATATTAAAGATCTTGTAAGTATTGCACAATAGGATACAGGCTAAATCTGTAGATGACATACACTAAAGGTTTTAGAATGAAGAAATGGCCTTGGAAGAAATGGGGTCAACATATTAAGTAACAGAAGGTACTACTTAGAAATGGGAAGGAAGGCCG